TAATCCTTGTGCGTTGACAACAAAGAATCCCCAGTCACCATCACCACAGCTTCCCAGGAACCGGGACAGAGACCCCCGCTATCCCCACCACCACCAACACCACCTGAACCAGCGGGAGGAAACGAGCCCGACAATTAGGGACGTGTGTGCCAAAACAGAAGGATGCAGCCATCACCTGCTATGCTTAATTACACCACCTGGCACAACTTTTACCGTTAGAAAAGTGACGCTAGCCGAACCGCTCCCTCGTCAGAAGGATAATGCCCTGAATATTTCCACAGTGTTGCTGCGCTGCGGACAAAAAGCACTGCAGGTTCACTGGGAGCCCCCAGCTCTGCAACAGAAGCCAATAGCCTCTCACCGGGCCAGAACGTCACGTAGAACCGAACCGAACCGAACCGCACTCACCCCCTCCGGAACGAGCTGCTGTGGTGTCGGCCTTTGTGCTCCGTTAGCCACCGCTGAAGGAGAGCAGGAGAAGTTTTCCGGAGCCCTGTTACCTAGCGTGTGTTACCCCGACAGAGCCCGCAGCAGCAGCCCTCCAGTCAGCCGCGCGGTTCGCAATCCCCCGCCTCTCTGCTGGACGTCTATTCAGGGAGACAACAGCGGCGACATCCGGTCAGCGCTGTTAGAATAAAAGCTTTATCGATTTCTTTTTTGTTTCTTTTATTTCATTTCTTCAGCAAAAACTTTTGGGGTGGCAAAAATAATAAAAAAAAAATATATATATATATATATATATATATATATATATATATATATATATATATATATATATATATACACACACACACATATTTTTGGATTTCTTTAAATTTAATCTTTTATATTTATTTATTGTGTTTCATATTTAGGTCTTGATTGAAGAAGATGAACTCAAGATCATATTTGGGGTACACAGGATTTTTCCAGGCGTGTCTATACCCCCTCCCATACTCCCCACCACCTCCACCTTCCTGGGGGGACCACTCCTAAAGTTGACTAGCTAAATATGAAACAAATGATCTATAATCAGTGGGGGAGATATGGCTCTCTGCCAAAGGCAGCATGCCCTGGGAGGCATCATGAGTTAAAAAAAATAAATAAATGTTGCATATTTTTCCAATTTGGAATACAGAACGTTTTGCTTCAAACATGTAATGTCACTGCTTTGTAATATTTTCGATATACCTACATTTCGCATGTTGACAGTATGTGTTACACTTTAGGCATGCAAAATGATATAAGTCATTCGATATATCCAAAAACATTTTGTGCTGAGAGGTGAGTTTGCGATGTTTATTTTTTAGATGTTTATGTATTGGTTATCTACAACCACACACAAAACAATGAAAAATAAAACATTTTACATGTGACATATATTTCTTTGGAAACAATGCATTAAAAATGGCAGCACTCTGTTGTTCATTACGCTTTAATATTAACAAAAGCAATTCAATATATAAACATAATTAAATGTTATTAGGCCTTTAGCTTTTTAAAGCTTAAATTAACACCAAATTCACAAATTCATCCAAGTTTCCTGCTTTTATTTTGGAGACCCTACTGGATATAATTGGAGCTTTGCTCAGCAGCTTGATTCAGCTGCGGTCTCCACTCAGCAGACACCGGGCTGTCTCTCTCACCCCGGCCGTCTGTCTGTCAGCGCTGATGAAGCGCATCCGGAGCCCCGTGGCCGGCGTGCCGTGCGCGCCTCCCGGTTCGACACCTCCAGAGCACAGCCCGATGGTTTCCAGCTCCGCAGAAACTCCGGGGCTTTCTCTGCTCCAGCTGGAGTATTTGACATTTCCTTTCATCCCGTCGCGTCTTCAACGATTGATTACAACACATAAAATCCCGGGTTTAATGTTCACATTCTTCAGGTCTTAAACGTGTAAAGTTTCCCCGCGGCCCCTCCCGTCGGCGCTGACTTCTCTTTGGCAGACACAGCGGGTAGTTTCACCATCTGAGCAGGATCATGAATGATTTAATGGTTGCATGATCCAAGAGCACAGCAGGCCTTCAGTGGAAAACACTCACCCAGACTACAGACAGACTGACATCAGCCTCAGGACAAAGAACAAGTGGACAGGATTTCAGGATAATGTAGGAATGTTTGTCTAAAAAAGCGCCACACCAGGGAAAAGCACAGACTGTCGGAGTGAGGAGGAAGTGACAGATGGAAGCACAAATGGGAATCCATCAGTTCTTGCTTTCCAGAATGTAAATATGGATTCCATGGAATGCAATATCATCATTTAAATATGTGCCCCCCCCCCCCCGACCCCCAAGCAGGAAATAATTCCACAAATATTGAGCTTCTTCAGACTGCAATTTATTATGTTTAGAAAAGAAAAACAAAGTCTGGGAAAATTAATTATTTTGATCTATTTTGTCATTCAGCTTCTGCTAAGTGAAGACATTTATATAAATATTTCGTCAAGTATGGTGACAGACCTACAGCTTCAGTCAGTTTACTTACACATAACTGCAGTGAATATTATATTAATCTCCTGGCTTTTTATGATGTATTTTAACAGATTTTTTTCCCCTCAAATATTTACACTCTTAGGAATATCCAGAGAAATGTCC